CCATTTTCTATTTCTCACATTTCCAAACAAAGTAAGAAAGCCGTATCAAAAATGATGAACACCATGAAGAAAATTAAAGACGATAACGACAAGAGAAAGTGATTTATAGTTTGCCTTTGTTAAACTTGTGGGGAGGAGAATAGAAGAGCAGTCACGAGACGTTTAGGAGGCTGACGGGATATGATTAATGAGGGTATGGGTGGGGAAACCATTAATACATACGTGGGATTATTCTAATGCTCGTAGAAAGACTTTTTTCGTAGAAAATTATAATAAAACGAGAAAATGTTCTTTTTAAGCAATATTCTGGTTATTTTTTTATCGATTATTCATCGTGCATTTTAAAAGTGGTAAAATAAACATATTTTCCTTATGTAATAATAATGTAGGTAAGATATTATAAACATTGCATGATACGAATAAATTTCGTATACTGTTTTTCACATAGCCAAAAATCATCCGCTACAGTACAAAAAGAAACTAGATAAATCTACAGTTAGCATTTAAACAAGTGAGGTTTATCTTTTTGTAATAGTAAAATAAACGAAAATTGAAATATGAATGTTTTGAAGGCTATGTGATATTTTCAAGTGTATTATGTAACAATATACCAGGTTCTCGGGCGCGGACCGCCATCCAGCGAGATCTCGCGAGAAATGATTGATGTTCTCACATCTAATCGTTAGATCACGTTACTGTCATACGCCTGTGTATCCCATCAAACTCCTGGTCACGTGACCTCATCAACAAAACCGCGACCCTGAATTAGACCTAACCTTTTCATTTAGTTAAAATTTGAGAAGAATAATGTTTTCACCCCTTTGTCAGTGTTACACATCTAAACAAAACTGGGTAATTGTACAAAATATTTAAGGAACTCTTCTCAAGTGTAGAATGAACATAATTTTTTTAGGTTCGAAAGTTAACACGAGTTGGGGCCATGCTGTAACTGTATGAGTAAAGCTTCTGAATATCACAAGTAAGGACCGCAAGATATAAAAAGAAACCCTTTTAACGAAATAATTCGTTCATTTCGAGGCATTTTCATTTTTCGATGTTTTCCTGCTTCAATTCTGTATCATGTAATACTGCAGAGGAATGCACCAGAACGTTATCTTAGAAATATTTTATGGGTCCTTAAAAGTATCAAGTATTTAGATAAACTTATCTTAGTACATGTATATATACATACGGTACTATTATAAATGAAAACTTGTCACTCTCAACAAAATTTTGTAATTTCATAGAAATCGCAGGAAATGCTTTGCCTTAGTTTCTATGGAAAGGTCCGCCGGCGAGGGGGCAAAGTTCGTAGAACGCCGTGTGCGGACAGTTTTTAATCAGTAACTAGGGCAAACAGTACATTCCCATAAACACATAGAAAATATTGAAACCTGCCTGTGGCTAAATACATACAAATTCACATGAGCTCATTTTTCTTATTCCACAAGATGCCTGCAGCTGTGAATAACTTGGCGTGTGAATTTGATAGTTTCCATCTGCCCAGGGTGCCAACTTCACGTTTTCATCCCTCTAGTAGGCGCATGTAGAGATCGCAAAATATTGCACAATACTAGAAAATGTTTTGAATTTTGAGACCCCTGTCAACGCCTCAAATTTCCAGCATAAGACTTTATTCTAATTATAAAATGATATCACTTTTATTATTTTTAAGTACATACGTTATAAATGAGTGGAACAAAAAATGGTTACACACTGACTCATGGTTCACTATTTCACTATAATAGATATAAATAATGTAACTGCTGCTGCTGCTGCTGCTGCTGCTGATGATGATGATGATGATGATGATGACGATCATGATGATGACGATCATGATGATGATGATGATGATGATGATCAATATCATGATAATAATAATAATAATCAATCATGATAATAATAATAATAATAATAATAATAATAATAATAATAATAATTATTATTATTATCATAATAACAATAACAATAATAATAATAATGATAATAATAATAATAATAATAATAATAATAATAATAATAATAATAATAATAATAATAATAATAACTATTATCATAATAACAATAACAATAATAATAATAATAATAATAATAATAATAATAATTATAATAATAATAATAATAATAATTATAATAATAATAAATAATAATAATAATAATAATAAATAATAATAATAATAATAATAATAAAACAACAAAACAAAAAGTCGACTTGAACAGTTTAATAGTGTTATTGAAGAAACGAGGCATTTATCAGTTGTATTTTTATATTTTACAGAATTGTCAATTATCGGGAAGATGTGGTCTTTCAACAAATCGTCTAATATACTAGCTTTATTAGTACTTAAGAAATGAGCCATTTTGAGAACATTTAAAACCATTGAAAACAGGTTTACTGATATGGTCTTTACATGGGGGTTGTCTTAGTATACAAGGTTTAACTATAACTGAAATTATTAGAGTTATGAGAGTACACCCTTAACAAAATAAACTGGGAATGATTTCGGAGTTACTATACATTTTTTGTTTGAATAAAGATTTTGTTTGTCTCTCTGCACCTAAAACCCACACTGTTTCCAGACAAATTTAATTGAATATTTCACCAGAATTTACCACCCAACTTTAGCCTTGTTGGGCCCTGTCAGCTGATAGACCGTATTTCAATCAACAGTATAATTACTGTGACACTTCTAAACTACAATATTTTAATAGGAATTGTCAGTTATGTCCTCAATTAACGTTCGCAATATTATTGTTGGGAAAAAACGAATCAGACTCTGTGTTATTTACTCGGCAATGAATCATCGATGGTCGTGTTTTCATTAGAACAGCCAGCCTCTTTCTTACTGAAATTGCACTAATACTTCCGGTTCCGGTCACCAAGTACATGTTACTATTCCTGCTTGATTGGTGACCACAAAGAGTAATCATTTTGTGTGCGATGGCTGATCATTCATTCATTCATTCATTCATTCATTCATTCATTCAGTCATTCAGTCATTCAGTCATTCATTCAGTCAGTCAGTCCATTCATTCATTCATTCATTCATTCATTCATTCATTCATTCATTCATTCATTCATTCATTCATTCATTCATTCATTCATTCATTCATTCATTTGTTCATTTATTTATTTATTTATTTATTCATTCATTGACTGATGATTGATTGATTGACTGATTGATTATAGTATCCTCAATGTACAATATACAGCTAATATGTTACGTTACGATACTTTACATTACGTGTTGTTTTGTTACTAATATATAAAAATTAAAGTTCGTGAAAGTTGCACAATACATGCCAAGAAAATTAATTAAGAAATGCATGTTTCATTGCAGTTACCCCATAATTTACTTTTCTACGCGGTTTATAACCTTTTTATTTAATTTTATTTTTATTTATTTTGTATTTATATAATTTTTTTAACCATTAGCATAATTTACGTCGCTAGGATGTTCCAACTCAGCCCCAAAAACACGTCAATCATCTGAGGATAATTTGAGGATATTTTTTTCTGAGCAATGAATTTTAATAGAGTGTTAGCATGTTTTATAATGCGATAAAAAGCCAATAAAACAGGAGGGAAATTTCGCGTTATCTGCTTCGTACACACGCCTCATCGTCCCAGGTGTCTGTTTTCAGTAATAATTCTGTCATTCTAGCCTGATTTAGTACGGGTATACTTTCCTTATTTACTGCTCGGTTCAAGATATAAATTCAGGTACAAAAATGTAACAGTTTTCGTAGAAATAGAGTGGTTTTATTTTTATTTTATTTTCTCTGCACAATCAAGTATATGTGCGTGTCTTTAATGATGAAGGTTTAATACGTCAAAAATTTTAACTTCATGAGTTCATCGGTACCATTTAACAATCTCATGATTTCAACTTCATGAATTCCCGATTTGAACATTACAAATATGTGATTTCAACTTTATAAATTTCCGATTTCATCCTGATGAATATGCGATTAAATCTTAATGAATCCACGGATTCAACTCCATTAAATCACAATTTCAACTTCACAATTTCATGAATTCAATATTTCAACTTTTTTTTTTAATTTCAGTTCGTGAAGTTGAAATCATGAATTCATGAAGTTTAAATCATGAATTCATGAAGCTGAAACTTTAAAAAGTAAGATTCGTGATGTTCATGAATATGAATTCATGATGTTGAAATTATAAAACCGTGATTTCGTGAAGTTGAAATCGTGAATTAATGACGTTGAAACTGATAAAACGCGATTTCATGAAGTTGAAATCAAGAATTCATAAAATTCATATTTTAAATTGGAAAAGTTGAAATCATGAATACACGAAGTTGAAATGTCCCCATTTTATAATTATTGTTGTTTTTTTTCTTCAGGTGTTGAATCTTAGTTCAGAGTATAATACTTAATGTCCGTCTTCGTTAGTCTTTATAACCTCTGAATGTGTACAGATTTCTATGTCCGTCTTATTAATAAAACACAAAATCGTTGCAAGTTCAACCTCTATTCAGAACATCATCTTGAGAATTAATGCCAGGTAAAAATTAACTTAGTTACATTGTAACATTAATCCCTGCTGTGTAAATAATGAGGCATTTCTCATCTAAATTCCTCGCCCTCCGAGGGGTGGTCAGAGTTATTGGCCGCTGACATTACGTCTACGGGGAGCATGTTTCAACAGGTAATATCATTAATCTACAATAATTAGCCATTAATCAGCGACCAGTACTAGCAAAATGTACCACCTGTTGAAAACTAGCTCCCAAGAATGATTATTTCAGATTTATCATTATACTCTACATTATACATGAGCAGAGGATTTTTTCATGCCTCGATTGACCAGGACTAGAAAGTCAGAAGACATGGGTTCGATTACAGAGCGTTGAACTGTGAATCGGGCGACTCGGGTTCGAATCCCGGATTTAGTCACTTTCGGTGTGTTTGACCATGAAATCCTCTTCACGGTCATTCGCACTGTACCTCTGCACTGGTACGTACAGAAGGTATTAGGTCCTTGCGAAACTGCTTGAGAGCCAGTCGAGAAACGATGCAGTGGCTGAACTGAGCTCTAGTAAATTTAGTGTAGCTTGCTGCCGTGATCCGGAATGAAAACTACCAACACTCCCACCACTATCGATCACAAAAATCATCTCCATACTGTAAGCAAACTGATACGGATGCTGCATTTTAAAATTGATGAAGTACATCCTCAATAATCCTACATATCTGACTTAAATAATAGATTAGAATAATTTGAGTAAAAAACTTCAAGCTAACAAACGTAACGACTGAGATATATACAACTCGATGGCATTTATTTGAACCGAAAATTGAATTAAACGTTTATACGTTGGATCTTACGAACGTTTGAACAGAACGTAATTTTAATTAACACGTGCAGACATCAAAGTAAGTCAACTTCGCTTATTGACCGGAACGTGACCAAGTTCTAGTTATGACAATAAACATTGGCCGTCTTGGACAAACCAGGCGGATCCTTTGAAGAAGTTTATATTTATTGTTTCATGAAAAATGTCAAGGGGTTTGATTAGGAACAAATGAAGCTTTTAAACTTTTCAAAAGAATGCAAATAAAAGTTTCATGGTCCCACGCTGAGGCGTTGAAATGTAACAATTTAATAAGACAATTTTTAATTCGGCTTTATTCAATGCAAACATTCAAGTTTGTTAATTTCCAATGGGATTTGGTGGTGCCATTGATTCAATAGTTTTATAGACAGCAAGGGTTTCTTTTTTTCTTTTTTTTCCGTAAGTTAAGAATATAGATGCAATTTAAGAAAAGAAAGTTTTCCATCCAATATTTTCCGGATGTACCACAATAATTCTAATTCTCAAAGAAGCGAATAAAGTCTACTGAAAATTGTAGAATAGGCGATTTTCATTGATTTTCTACAATAAAAGATTTATTTTCTCTTTTAATTTAAAATTGTGTTGAACTTTGATTTTAAATGAAAAATACAGTAACAAGTTACAAGCCAGGACACCAATTTTGGTCAATCATATTTCTTTCTCACATTCTCATGCTATACCCTTATCTTGACTTTAAAACTATTCTATAAAAAATGAAATATACAATGGTTAATTGTATGTTTGGCTGAATGAGGGTCCAGTCGCTCTTTTCAGGAACAGAGAGTATGGACACCGGACATGCCACAATTCATGTCCTTAATGGTTATAATATGCATAAAGGTGACCTATTAATTTTGTATTCAGTAAATCACTGAATGATACTTAAAAATATGTACGTAAGTCGATAAGTCGATTTTCAAAGAAATTTTTTTAGCAAAAGTTCATTTTTAAATATTGGCAAGCACTACCGCCTGCGCATGCGCATCGAATGGTGAAGTGAATTGACTACTAAGCCACATTCACTCAATCATCGTTCAGTACAAATTGAGCCATTGTAAACGTTTGTATTATCTGACAGAAAATTGGAATTCAAAGTTGTACATCATCAGTAGCAATTAGCGGTGAAATATGTAGAAATTCTCCCCGACATTTTATCTCTGTCTGGGAGATAAGATTTCCCGTAAACCCGAGATAATCTTTTCGTTATCTCCGTCTAATGCTCCCTCGATTGGCTGGCAAAAACTCTCAGGAACTCACTCCTAATGCTGCTGCCTTTATTTTTTCTGTCTCCGTGTTATGTTGTATCTTACAATTATTTATGCAGATTTTCCGCGTCAAAATTTATTCAGCAAATGCAACTTTTTTTTAAATATCATTACCCACTTCTTACTTAAAATGTATTTGATAATCAAGTATTAAATTCAAGGACAATCTGCAGTGTGAGGGAACAGAAAATAAAAAAAACGTAATTTTTATTAATGTATCTACATTTAAAGAACATGTTCTTATCGTGGTTATTTTGTAAGGTTTTAAAGCCCACGTTTTTGTCGTCTTAATGTGTGATTGTTTAAGACCACGTTTTAATCGTGGTATTGAATGGTATATTAACACCACGTTTTTATCGTGGTGTTGTGAGATATTTTAATACCCCGCTATTATCGTGGTATTGAATGGTATTTAAAGACCACGTTTTAATCGTGGTATTGTATGGTAGTGTAAGTTCACGTTTTTATCGTGGAATTTGATGGTATTTTAAGACCACGGTCTCGTCGGGTATCGTATGACAGTTTAAGACCACGTTGATAAAGTTGTATTGTATGGTAGTTTAAGACCTTGGCATTTTAATTAAAGTTTCATCTTGCAATGTACTCCGCGGAGTAATACACGAAAAGCTTGTATGTTTCAATGTAAGTAGTTCGGTGTCAGCACCCTATTGGCATCTGTATAACGGCAAATGTTAACACTACATGTGCACTGTTGCTGCAATTTAAAACAGCAAAATCAAGGTTTTTTTTACTGTTTTGTATTAACTGAATGAAGCAGAAGTTATTTAGATATCTATGTATTTAATAAAAACTCATAAGAAACTTCGATACACAAATATATAAATCAACATAATATATTGGATATTAAACAAGTAATAATCTTATATTTAAATATTATGTTGACACTTCCGTCGATGTCAACTGTCTTTATATTTACGTTTTTTTGCCAAATACTTATAGGAACGAGCATTTACCACATATCAACTTGGACCTAATTTAAATTCTGTGCAATTGATAAAATGGAAAGCCAAATACCGTTTTTTCTTGTAATAATTAATTGAACAGCTTAGTTTGTTGAACGAAACCTTGATTTATTGGGTCATTGCAGTCTTTGTAAAGTGATAACAACTCTATGATCCGTAAAATTCTTATCTTGTTCGTGCATTTGCGAAATTTATAGACGTATCGCGCTTTTCTATACGATGCTATCAATAAATCAACATGCGCAAGAGGTTTGCCGCTTCATGACCCGCCCACTTGTCATGTGGTATCTACGCTCCGCCCCTACAGAAAACATCCGTGTTTCATTGCTTATGCCTTCGCTAAAGCCTTCAAGCCAAGTGGAAATAAGAATTATGCTTGTTTTCGTCATAAGTATTCCACAAAGAAACATCTCAGTATTTTCCCTCTCCGATACCTAATCTTATTAAATTCGCTGAAAATCAGAAGTTGTACTACAGTACAGGTTTCAAAATCGTTGCCATTACACTGAAAACAACTTGGACGCAACTTACAAATTTATATAGTGTTGCGGGAGCTTAACAAAAATATGGAAATGTTTGTTCAAACTATACGAAACCAATTTGGGCCTACAACGATACAAAAACTGTTAATTCGTGATATTTTTCTACACCGAATAAATGTTTTCTTTAGTGTTAAATATTGTTTGCTTTATTCATGTGAAGCATTTAGTTGTACATTCACAAATATTTAGATGTCCTCAAAGTAAACTTGATCTATCAGTCCTGTCTGAAACATATGCTAGAAAACGGGGTTTAAGGTTGCTTGTCAACAGACGAACATAACGAGTGTATTAAATACTTACACCGCTGTTAAAGTTAAAAACATTTTTTTTTAAATCTAATTTCAATCTTGTAAATAACTTTGTCATTTTTTCTTCATTTATTCATAAATGTGATTGTGGTTGTAAATAAATTTAAAGGCTTGCTTAAGATGATATAATCATCATCATCAGCAGCTGCAGCAGGAGCATCATCATCATTATTAACAGCAACAATATTCACAACAACAACAAAAAAACATGAGTAACAAACCAACCAACAATAAAATAAAACATTTTGTTAAAAAAGAAAATTATGAATTTGTAGAGAAAAAAATCGTAGTATTAGATACATTAAATAAAATTATTTCACCTGAGACCTGATAAGTCAGACAATCACGTGATGCAAAATATAAAAATAACAAATATTAAACCCGCATTTACGTAACTTGTCATTGGAAAGGAAAGGTACCATTTATTTATTGTAACCATTTATTTAATATAGGATGTGTATTGGAATTTTTCTTAATGAAATCTATTTCATATTGTCATTTTTCTCTATCTAACATAGGAATTAGTAATATACTTCATGAAAAAATAACAATAATATATTTCAATAGTGATACTATTTTGGCTATAAAAAATATATGATGATGATCTGTTGACAAATCAAACAATTTTTTATTGTCCAAGTAATCAAAAGAATGCAACAGTTTAGTACTTAAAATACATGTGTACCCCGTTATATTATGTTAATACAGTCAAATCTGTGAATAAAAAACACACAAAGAGAGACTAAACATGGTCTTTATAGACAAGTGGTTTTTATTTGGAGGTTACTCTGTTCTATTTACTCAATGTAGGGTTGAGAAATAAAGGTTTTTATTTACAGGGTGGTCTTTACTCGGAGGTGGCCTTTAAAACAGGTTCGACTGTTTTATGTAACACTAAGTCTCTTATCATCCAATTAAAGACTGATCATGTGTGTCTTTTATTAATTTCTGCAGAAAAGAAAGATTCCGTATTATATTTTACAGTATTATATAAATGTACTGATTCGGGGAAGATGGTAAAACAAAACGGTGTACGGGACTGCCCATGCACGGCGCAGCCGTAAAAGTCGTTAAAGTCGTTCGTGGGATAAGTAAAACTCTGCAGTGCAATATACTCGTTCTTATGTTTATTTGTAGACAACAATAATCCTACTAAACAGCTAGTCGAACGGTTATCTGAAACAATGATAACCGACTTACAATAACAATACATGAATTTCAGTAAATAACAATAAGCAAACAGAATTACTTCGATTATAACAATTTAAAGTCAATATGCCCTTAACATAAATCTCTTGAACTAAAAATAGTATATCTCTGTCTCTTGAAGAACTATTTAAATATTCTAAAGGTTACAAAAAATGTAAATAGAAATGCATTTTATAAATTGAAATAATACAAGGAAAAATGTGAACTTACTGAACAATGCAATCTTTATCCCAAAACACTTAGAAAATTAAACATCAAATTCAACAATTTACATTTATGCGTGCTTCGCTCGCCAAGTCGCCCTTTCGAATGCGGTCTTGGTGCGCGATTTTAGGGGACGTGCCCGATGAGTATTGTTCCTAAAAATATACAATTCTGTAATTTCTGACCAATCAAAAATGTTAATTTTCATATTAGACGCGGTTCCAAAATAAGATTTGCCGCTTATGGATAGGGTCTAACGAGCATTTTTGATGAACGATATATAAACAAGATTTTGGCACATAGTAATTAAATCTGTCTTCTGACAGGCCAACGAAGGGGCAACCAGATAAAAATTGAAATCTATATGTCTCTGTTTCTCGAACCTCAGTGCATGATGACCTAGCCATGTCTCCTACACCGCCCCTCAATGAGCCTTCCATAGAGCTCATTCAAATTATGCAATCTTAAGGAGACAAGGCTGCGAGAAAGAGGCACTAAACAGCAACTTCAAAATACACAAACTATCTACGATATACTTATAACTACAATATACTAATAATACACATACGATTCTACGACAACGAACTACAGGACATGGCGTTCTAACAGACACAAAGTTGTGATCGGTCTAACCTTAATTGAGCCATTTACTTTTACCTTGCATGACCGCACAAGTCCATCACGTCCCTTACTTACATCAAGAACGAGGCCTAAAGGCCACTGACCCGCAACGAAGGCTCGTTGCATACAAGTACAAGGTCGTTGACGGCCACGCTTCTCTGCTGTGTATACCATTTCTGCCTTACCTGTAAATTCGATAAATATTCCCGCGTCCATCTTTTCCAAAATAAATTTGCTAAATACTGTACCTGTCTCCACCAGCGCCTACAGTAGATATCATGCTTGTCGAACAGACCTGGTGGAAAGGACGCGTTTGTTCGCATTATCAGCAGTTTATTGGGTGATAAAGGCTCCGGATCCCTTGGATCACTACTTACCTGAGTGATTGGTCGATCATTGAGAATTTTCTCTATCTCTACCACCAAGGTCAACAGCGCTTCGTCGTTGAGAAGTTGTTCGCGAATGACAGATTTTAATGCTGTTTTGGCGGACCTTACAAGCCGTTCCCAGACGCCACCCATATGTGGTGCATATGGCGGATTGAAATGCCATTTGATTTCACGCTGCTGACAGAATTTCGTCAGTCGACTATTATTCCATAGCTGAATACTATCTCGTAATACCCTTTCACCTGACACGAAATTCGTTCCATTATCACTGAAGATTTTCTCAGGATTGCCTCTACGGCCGATAAATCGTTGAAGTGCACATACGAATGAATCAGTATCCAAGCTATGGGCAATCTCGATGTGCACTGCTCTCGTGGTTAAACAAGTAAATAAACAACCATACCTCTTTAAATGCCGTCTTCCGGATTTCACAGTCATCGGCCCAAAATAATCGACGCCGACGTACGTGAATGGTGCTTTATCAGGCATAAGTCTCTCTTCTGGTAGTTGACCCATTTGCTGTGTTTCAGGACGATGGTGCTTTCGTTTACATTCAAGACAAAGGTTCAATACAGACTTTACCGCTCTGTGTCCTTGAACAATCCAGTATTTCTGCCTTATAAGAGAGAGGACATGTAGAGTACCAATGTGTGCATTCCTTTCGTGGAAGTCCCTTATCAAGACTCTGGTAACATGATGAGAGCTAGGAAGAATTATAGGATGTTTAGCGGCTTCGTCGATGAGCGAGTTTTGTAATCCACCTACTCTTAATAAACCCATCGGTATATACCGGATTTAATCTGACAAGTGAACTTGATTTAGATACATTACCTGCCTGTATGACACTTCTTATTTCGTCTCCATATATTTCCATTTGTAGTAGCTTGAAGACAGCGGATTTTGCTGCTCTAATTTCATTTATGGTAAGGTGTTTTGATGCAGCATAAGATACCTTGTTACCTCGCAAGTATCTCTCTACAAGATAAGTTTTGAACCTAAGTAACCAGCCCACTGCTCGCTGAAGTTTGTGCCAGTCGGAATATCTGGTCAGTAAGTCATCGATTCCCTTACATTGCTTACCTTGTGAAAGATTGACATTTACTTCCGGTTTCACATCGATATCATCATCAGAAACAGGAAGGTTCGTAACAATTTCTGGCCAACTAATTCGGTCCTTCAATATAAAGTTTGGGCCATTTAACCAGAATGACAGTTTATCCGTATCATAAGGATAAAATCCTCTAGAGGCAAGATCGGCAGGATTTAACTTTGACGGTACATACCTCCAATCTTTTGGCGTCGTAACATCATGTATATATGACAGTCTATTCGCCACAAACGTCTTAAAACGCTTCTTGACATTATTTATGTAGCCTAGTACGATCATAGAGTCTGTCCAGAAAATGGTGTCATGAATTTCTATGTCCAGTTCTTGAGTCACGAGTTGATACAACTTGACTGCCAGCACCGCTGCAGCCAACTCGAGCCTCGGTATGGACAGTGTCTTGATTGGAGCAAGCCTGGATTTCCCTATAATCAAACTACATTTGATGTTGCCAAATGCATCGTACACCTTTAAATATGCTGCTGAGCCGTACGCCTTTTCCGATGCATCGCTAAATATATGAAGCTCAGTCTTAGTAGAATGTCTATCTAACGCAATCGGTTCTAGACATCTCTCAATACTCACCTTTGACAATTCCGACAGACTGGCTAGCCAGTGGGACCAGCATTCTGCATCAGCTTCAGATATCTTTTCGTCCCAGCCTAATCTTTGTCTGCAAGCATTCTGTAATACTAATTTGGTATCAGAGTAACAGGTGCGACCAATCCCAATGGGTCATATAACGAACTTGCTACAGACAATATACCTCTTCTTGTATAACCCTTGTCTTGCAAATTGACATCAAAAACGAAGCAGTCTCTTTCTACATACCATTGTAGCCCAAGTGTCTTCTCAAGCGCTGCATCTATTTCAATGTCAAGTCTGGTAGTAGATTCAGCCCTTTCCGTCTCGGGTATCGAACTTAATACATCTGGGCTATTAGAAACCCACTTGGTTAATCTAAATCCGCCTAAAGAGAGAATTTCCCTAAGTTCACGGGCAAGTTTTAATACCTACCTTTTCGTCAGATACCGACTTCAAAAGATCATCGACGTAGAAATTACGTTCTATGGTACCGACGGTTTCATCACTGAATGCGTGAGAGTTATCTCTAGCTGTACGTTTCAGGCTAAATGCAGCACAGCTAGGTGACGAGGTAGCTCCGAATAGGTGCACGTTCATACAGTATTCTATCGGTTCTTTACTAATGTCCCCATTCGGCCACCATAGAAACCTCAGCGCATCTTTATCACTGTCTTTGACCTTTACCTGATGAAACATTGCCTCAATATCGGCCACTAAGGCTACAGGTTTCTGCCTAAAACGCATAAGTACCCCGACTATGCTATTCATATAATCGGGACCTTGCAGCAAGTTATCGTTCAAGGAAGTGCCCTAAACTTTGCTGCACAATCGAAAACAATTCTTACCTTATTAGGTTTCTTTGGATTTATCACAGGGTGATGAGGAAGGTACCACACGCGCCTATCATCGTTTAGACCAGTCTCAAGTAACCGTTCAGCATAACCCTGTTCAATATAGCCTTCCATAGTGTTCTTGTAAAGGGTGTATAACTCCTCGTTTTTACCAAGTTTTCTCTTTAAATGATCGAATCGTTTGAGAGCCATTGATTTATTGTTTGGTAAATGAACACCCTTGTCCCGCCATGGGAGACCTAACTTGTAGTGACCATTTTCAAGAGTAATCGAATTTTCCATCAATGAGCGTGCACGGCGGTCTTCTTGCGACATGCCTACACCACTATCAAGTTTCATGTCCGGAAAATCGGTATTCCATAGTTTATCAATCTGGTCATGCACGCTCAGGCTTTGCTGAAAATTTACATTGACAGCCGTTTGCAGTGTACTCTTACCTGCGGGTCCTATAATGCTCCACCCCAAGAGCGATCGTATAGCATAAGGCTCGCCTCTTCTTCCTCGCCTTTCTTCCTCTACCCAGAAGGCTTCAGGTACATCACTACCTATCAATAGTTCAACTTGCCCTTCGCTTATCTGCGGTAAGTCAATACCATCTAAATGTCTCCACTTACTTACCTCTCTACGATCGGGCAATGAATCCAGAGATATGGGCATTTTACGCACTGACCATACTTTATTTAAATCTAAGGTTTCCCTTTTATCTAAAGAACTTACCTTAAACTGTACTTCTAAGCCCCTTTTCCTTTCAGTAGACTGATTTACTGTTGTAATAGTAAACTCACGGCGTATACCTACGGCTCCCAATTTCCTAACAAGCTCATCACTGCAGAGTGTTACGTCACTACCTTCGTCGAGCAAGGCGTACGTTTTCACCTGTTTGTTACCATTTTGTACTACTACAGGGACGATCCGTAAACTCACCCGATTACGTTTACTACCTAACTGTGAAACATTACAGCAATTACTCTGTCCATTATTATATTCAACATGCCTAATTTCATCATGCAACATAGTATGATGCTTCTCTTTGCAACCCGAAACTTCACAAAGACTATTTTTGCGACAGAATTTAGCAGAGTGTTTAAAGTTTAGACAGTTCTCGCACATTTTGTGCATTCTGACAACATTCAACTTTTCCTTAAGGTCAATCAATTTAAACTTCGGGCAATCAATGAGTTTATGACCCTCTCTGCAGTATACACAAGATAAACACGCAGAGCGTTTCTGTGGTAGACCGTTACCTAGAAATTTATTGCTAGAGCTAGTGGATAGAGTTACAAATTTCTCGCGCGGGGGAGAGGTCATTTGAGGTTTCCTAACTTGAACAGATTTTGACTCATAATGCAGGTCATGGCCGTACATAGTATTTGCAACTGTGGCCCTCTCTTTTACAAAGGTAAGAAGATCATCAAATGATGGTTCGATTCCCTGCTCAATTAAGCGGCTTGCTCGCTCGACCCATTTCGACCTAATATTAAAAGGTAATCTGCGAACAATTTTTCTTAGATTTTCAGTGTTATTAAGATCCGACATGAACCCTACTTGTGATAAATTGATCTGACATTTTTCCATGTCAAGAGACAGATTCATGAGACCCTTAATGTCATTATTTCTTATACTGTTGCCATTGATTAATTTCTCTACATGTGATCTTGCAACTAAATGTGGCTTACCATACCTAGATTCTAAAATCGATTTCGCTCGTTCGAATCCCTCCTCGGTCGGCAACACAACACAATCCTCAATACTACGCTTAGCGTCACCTTGACAAAACTGAATTAGATAGCTTAGTTTTAACCTATTGTCATTTACCCTTGATTCTATATTTGTCTCAAAATTACAGATGAATTTACCATAATCCGACGGGTTTCCATTAAATGTTAACAGTTCAGGTTTTGGCAGGTTGAGACTCTCCTGCACACTAACGGTCATTGCTTTAAGTCCTTGGAAAAGTTCTGCATCACAAAAGGTCTCTGTACAAGTGGCTCCGTCTCTGTAGCTAACTTCGTCTGTGCGAGTTGATCGACGTACTCCTGCACCTTTTCCTGTGAGCTTAATGCCTTTTCAGGCAACACGGATTCTTGGACGCGTTCACTCGAGCTCGAACCAGAGTCGCTTTCATCATCCAACTCGGACCTCGCTAACTGGTCTTGAGCTGATTGCAGTTCAAGTTCTCGCTGCAATTCTGTCTGTTGAATATTCAACTCTTGCATTTTTCTCTGCAGCTCGTGACGTTTTTTTGTCTGATCCAATTTTAGCTGTGCAAGTTGACGTCTTCTCTTCGAGGATGATCTTGAGATTTCTGTTAATCCGCTTCCTCCATTTTCACTCACTGAAGTTGCCGAACTATCTTTGTTTGAAGCAATATATGCTTGAACTCGTACTAATAATGACTCCAACTCTGCCTTTGTGACGTCGCGTGAGCGTTTAATTTCATATCGTTCTTCAGGTGAAACATTTCTAGATTGTCATGCTCATTTTCGAATTCCTTCCAACACTCATTTATTTCTTCCCTTAAATCACGCACATATGAGATACTGTCTTTCTCATTCAAGCGTAAACTCATACCCTTCGAAAGTTTAGCAAGTCTTGATTTATATCCCTTTAATTTTGCTCTTTTTTCCGCGCAACGCTTGGATTCTCTGCCGAAGCCATATTCACTGAATAAGTTTTCAATAACTGGGGTCAACAATTCCAAGAAAGTGTTCAACAACATTCACTATCTGGGATGACCTTCAATATCCTTCTCACTATGGAATTGATTAATGTTCAATAACTGTACGGGACTGCCCATGCACGGCGCAGCCGTAAAAGTCGTTAAAGTCGTTCGTGGATAAGTAAAACTCTGCAGTGCAATATACTCGTTCTTATGTTTATTTGTAGACAACAATAATCCCTACTAAACAGCTAGTCGAACGGTTATCTGAAACAATGATAACCGACTTACAATAACAATACATGAATTTCAGTAAATAACAATAAGCAAACAGAATTACTTCGATTATAACGATTTAAAGTCAATATGCCCTTAACATAAATCTCTTGAACTAAAAATAGTATATCTCTGTCTCTTGAAGAACTATTTAAATATTCTAAAGGTTACAAAAAATGTAAATAGAAATGCATTTTATAAATTGAAATAATACAAGGAAAAATGTGAACTTACTGAACAATGCAATCTTTATCCCAAAACACTTAGAAAATTAAACATCAAATTCAACAATTTACATTTATGCGTGCTTCGCTCGCCAAGTCGCCCTTTCGAATGCGGTCTTGGTGCGCGATTTTAGGGGACGTGCCCGATGAGTATTGTTCCTAAAAATATACAATTCTGTAATTTCTGACCAATCAAAAATGTTAATTTTCATATTAGACGCGGTTCCAAAATTAGATTTGCCGCTTATGGATAGGGTCTAACGAGCATTTTTGATGAACGATATATAAACAAGATTTTGGCACATAGTAATTAAATCTGTCTTCTGACAGGCCAACGAAGGGGCAACCAGATAAAAATTGAAATCTATATGTCTCTGTTTCTCGAACCTCAGTGCATGATGACCTAGCCATGTCTCCTACAAACGGACAACAACAAAAAGAAAAACTCAAACAAACAAACAGAAAAAATAGTAGTCAACAGTTGATCCGATGTATTTTTAATAGTTATGATGACTCAACGCCAATACAGAGACCAGTCCCTTTGTAAAGTGAAAGAAATCAAGTGAAATTCTTCAGTATATCTAATGGTATTTTCCTTATGTAATAGTATGTAATAGTATTTCAGTCAAATGTGTTTGCATGGCGTAAGAACACTTTAAACTTGATTTAGCCAATGATTTACAAACCTCGGTGTGATGGCCGAACTACCAATGTCACAAATCCCGAACTTCATTCCTTTACGCGAAATTTAACTTCGTTTGTATAAGATAACAAGATGGGTGGGGTGATAGAAAATTACGACAGTTTAGAAATACAATTTAATCAAGACCGTATTGTACAACTGATATGAGGCGGTAATCAAGCTTGTTGCATCTTGTTAGTGGACAAAAGTTCTGACACATTTCAATTATGAATTCCACGGCTATTACGCACTGAGGACACTTGGTTTAATATAATTACTCCAGTGACACTTTTCCCCGGGGGCTTAGTTGAGCGGCCATGATATGGTCGCATAACCACTTGGCTGGTTGCTCAATGACAGTGTCATTGGCATATAGACACAGTGCCTTGTAATAGGGAATAAGGAAAAAATTGAGTCAAGAAAAACAGAAGGTAAAATAAAATTCCACTAGAATTGTATACATGTGTAAAGCGAGAATCTGGTTCATTAGCAACATCTTCTCCAAATCCCTCCCAAGGCAAGCACGTCGCGGAGAAGGCACACGGCACTTCCTCAGTACCAGGGATGATTGGTTGACCTGTCGTGACTAACTCGGGAGGGTTGTGGTCCTGCAAAGTGTCGGTTTGAAAGAAATAAGCCTTTGATGCTGTTTTCGTCACCTCTGATTACCACCCTGTAAAAATCCTAAATTTTCTGGGTTTTAAAAGTCAGTATTTAAATGAATTTCCCGAATACATGTTGTTTCAAACTGTACATCGTGTAAAATAACCGGCTATTTTAAACCCCAGCACCTTGCGCTATCATAAAAGCATAAAGACTGATCAGTACTTTTCTGGGAGGGACGCCCATGATAAAGAGAAAATAAAAATATTTTTTATTCGACATTCAACTTCCTAAGAACTATTATACACTGCACACCAAGCGCATTTCTCTTTAAAAAAATATTCTTTTCCATGTTGGAAATAGCTTTTAGCGTGACCATTACCACATTATTTACGGAAATTATTTTTACTTATTCAGTTGTTATTTTCTCGGGCATACTTTGATTAAACTATTTCTATTTTAGTTTCAAACTAATATATCTCTTGAAAACATAAGACTGATCTTTTGACGTTTAGAATTATCTCGTTTAAACACATTTTATACAATACATGTACATTGTGTATATTAAATATAACTTGGCTGTTATTTAGCGGAAGAGAGAATAATAATTTATTAATTTAGTTACATCATTAAATATCACAGTATACAGATCTATATATCCGTAAAACATTACTTCTCTATACAGAGTTATTAGATATGTATACTAAAAAATACACAATGCATGAAATTCATATATTTTAATTCTTTAGAAATGTCAGATATATGTGTAATAATGCTTTAATAATGGAACATAATTTAGAGTATTTGAGTTATCAAACACTATAATTATACCAGTTGCCAAGAGAACAAAAGATGTATAAATATTTCATCTACATGGCCGACTAGTAGATGTTTGGAACTGTAAACATATACCAACAATCAAAAGTTTTTAAGAAATAAAATTGATAGCATTTCTGAGGCATAATGGGCCTTTGAAAGAAACACTTGAATACAGTTAGAAAACAGCTACTGACCTTCAATAAAAGTCTTTAAAAAGAAAAACAAGCTAGCAAATCTAAAATATCTATTTCAGATAAAGAAAGGGGAATAAAATATACTCATCCACAGAACTTTTTATTGACGGAATCTGGACTATAAAACAGACTGGTGTATTTTCATGAGAATCATTTTACGTTATCAAATCTCTCGTACTCATTTCATATTGTTTATTTATCAATCTTTCGTCACATTTATAATAACACAACAAATTTTGTCGATATTTTGAAAGAAAACTAACGAAAAGCGATGAGATGTTATTAAAACAAATCGACTAAACATCAACACGAAAAGTAAAAGCGTTACCCGAAATGACGGCGCACTGGGCCGAAACTTCGCACGCGTCTAGCAAACGGATAAAGAAAACATACATTTTGACATTAAGGAAATGAAGTTGTTATTTTTGACAATATTTATTCAAATTTCGGAATTGAATTCTTATTACATCAAGCATTTAATGCACAGTACGCCATTTGAGTAAAGAAAAACTGTTTAAGGATTATGGCTTTTTTTTCAGCCGCTTGAAATATAATATATTAAAAGGGGAAAATACTTTTATTTTACTTTATTACCAAAAAATATTAAAATCAGAATTAGAGGTGGTTAAGATCTCTACATACGGATCGTGGGTTCGAGCCAAACTTGGGTCACGAACATATTTCCTTATTTTACACCAGGACTAGCATAGACTTAGTCTATGAAGTGGATCCGAGAGCAGTTAAAATATACTTATAGTGAACATCGCCATCGAACAAAATAAATACGTTTAAACTAAACTGAATTTACTTGTCCCTCTTTTAAACAGTGAGACTAGAAGTAGCCTTCTACTATTTATATGACACGGCTTGGGGACGGTCCAGATATGACTAAAGTTCAGATCTTCTTATTAATTTCATACATGTAGCAATTAAAAGCTGATTTTAATCATATTGGGATCGAACCAATACAATATCATAAAAAACAAGACGTATTTCTTTGATAATTTGTGCATTCACCATGCAAGAAGAGAATAACTTCTTTGCATATTATCATATAGTGGATTCCATCTCCTATACTATAGCAGATATGACGTTTAATTGATGGAGTCGCTTCAGGGGTGAAACGTATTCGTTTTCTCAATAAGCAACCACGTTCTTGTTTAAATAATTCTTCGTGTTGACTCTAAACAAAGGAATATTATGAGAGAAAATATATTTTTAAATCGTAGTAAACACAGAGCTATTTTGTTAGGATTGTATGAGTAAACAACGTATAAAATATGACCTGGCCATGCTGGTATTAATGTCTGAAGTATCATTACAAATGTGTTGGCACTGGAAAAGAAATAGTTCTGAAAAAGAGATGATGTTCTAGATAGGAAAAAAAACAACAACAACAACAAACAAACAAACTAATAATGTTTTGTTATATTTTTGAAAATAAGAAATTCTAATGTTAAGATAGTAAAGATGTGTCA